GCCACAAACCCGCCGAACATCGTACGATGCTCGGCGGGTTTTCGAACATGTCCGTAAGTTTAAAGTCGTGCGACCTTACATTTGTAGAGGTTGCACGGCTTCCACACACCTTACGATCATCGTACGATCGCAGGATTTCCCGCGATTATCGTACGATAATCGTAAGGTGTGTGGGGACCCTAAGTCAGGGCTCCCCTGCCTTATACAGACCACCTATAACAGGGGCCGGCAACCTAAACTCTCCAGCTGCATGGAAACTATACAAATCCAATCATGACTTTGGATCTGGGAGTCATGCCTGTGGCTATCAAAGTCTTGCAATGCCTTATGGGACTTGCAGTTCTGCTGGAGGGCCAAGGTTGCCTATGTTCTATTGAAAGCTCCAACTACCTCATTACCGGGTACTTGGAAGTTGGAGATTTCGACCGGATGGCGTTAGACTGCAAAGCACAAAGACTGACGGAGCTCTGTATAGCTGCATTTTAACAATATTCAGCAGGTGGCAAACTCTATGAGTATCCTGAAAACGCTAGGCGCGCATGCGCACCGTAACTGTACAGAGCTCCAGTCTCTCTGAGCACCGGAAGTGAGGTAGTTGGGGATTTTGATGAGTTGGAGCTTTCGATAGAACACCTACCCGTGGTCTATAACCCTTTGCTCAGTCATCTCAATTGGCTACAGATACACACAAGATTCTCAGTTGCTCAATTTTGCTACTAAAATTGCAAATTATCCACTAGACCAGGGATAGGCAACCTTGGCTCTCCAGCTGTTTTGGAACTACAAGTCCCATGACTAAGCCCTGGTTCAGACCTAGGCGTTTTTTAGCAGTTCGAAAAGCGCTTTTAACTGCCCAACACAAGAAATCCCATGATTTTCAATGGCCCTGGTTCACACCGGTGCAGAAAAACGCCAGACGATTGAAAAAAATACAGGAGCTTCTTTGGGCAGTTAAAAGCGCTTTCCCTCCGCATGGACTTCATTGGAAATGCCCAAAAACGTGCAACAGAAGCATGTTGCACATTTTCGTGAGCGTTTATACACACGTTCTTTCATTGCTCACAAAGATTTATGAGCTGCCAATAAAATTGTGCGTCTTCATGTACGCACGTTAAAACGCGCAAATGTGCACAACGCGCATAAACCGCATGCAGCTAACGCGTGTACAAATGTACAAAAACTGTGCCGCCTTGGTGTGAACCAGGGCTTACAGCCACAAGCATGACCCCTAAAGGCAGAGGCATGGGATTTGTAGTTTCACCCCAGTTGGGGTGCCAAGGTTGCCTACCCCTGCGCCTAGACAAATGGAACTAATGGCTCCCTATGGAATAAGCTAAATATGTAGCAGGGATCAATGTCACATGATCACACAATACTCCAATGATGTGTGATTGATCAAAATGCTACTGCGGAGCTTACTCTATATGCGACTATTTGTTTCATCCGTTTATTGCTAAATTTAATTTCCCCTCGACTAATTATTAATTGCAATATTAGCAGCAGGATTGAGAGAATACAATTGTATCTCTGTTGGCAAAAGATTGAAATCACTACAAATTAATTAAATATCATGTCTTGGAATCAAAATGTTCATCTGAAAAATATAACAGTCTACCTACGGAGCAGCTTAAATCACTAAATGAATACAATTAACCTACGGATTTTGGATGCAACGGGAAAAAGCAACTAATGTGCAAATTAGCAGCTGTTCAGTGGTTGACACCCTCACATTATGGGGGGCAACTCTTTGCGTATGTTGTCAGAAGCTTGGTGCCAAATTCCTTAAAACCCTGCGACATTTTCATTGTTAGTACTGACGCGAGTATTCCAAGATGACAATGCCAGGATTCACCAGGCTGAAATTGTGAATGAGTGGTTCAGGGAGCATGATACATCATTGTCACACATGGATTGGCCACCACAGAGTCCAGACCTTAACCCCACTGAGAATCTTTGGGATGTGCTGGAGAAGACTTTACACAGTGGTCTGACTCTCCCATCATCACTACAAGATCTTGGTGAAAAATTAATGCAACTCTGGATGGAAATAAATGTTGTGACATTGCATAAGCTTATCCAAACGATGCCATGGGGATTGCGTTCCGTAATCAAAGCTGAAGGTGGTCCAAATATTAGTGTGTGGCTTTTTTTTGGCCAAGCTGTGTATTTAATGTAAATAAATGTCGTTTTTGAGACACTTCTGCAACAAAACTTGTCTTTAAGATACTCTGGAACTGATATTTAATACATTTCCATTAAACACTCTCAACTTCTCTGCGTGTAAACCCCACCAGATGCTTGCGCCAGCTTCGTCAGAGTTGCGGCAGATTCAGACACACCTTACCGCCACGTACGTGAATCGGTTGTTGCTATATGACGCACTACCACAATATGGTTTTCTATGACACTCTTTTTGAATTCCATCGTATGTATCTGTGCCCACCCCCTAACGCTGTGACCGACCCCTATGCTGTAGCAGTTTAGGCTGACCTGCGCCCAGGATGCTGCATTGCAACAGTAGAGCCATTTTTTCTGGTCCATGTTGCTCTGTGATCATATGCTGAGGGGAAGACGCGGTTTCAAACATTCAACTTTTTGCTGCCGTTCGTAGCAATTAAGGCCTAAGAAGGGGTCTAATTTTTATACATCTGAATTAGGACTACAAGAGCTCTTACATGAGGCACTTTCCAATAATTAAATCAGAAGTCAATCAGCCCAATCGAGGAGCCTGCAAGCAATTTTAGGGAAGGCTTATAGAGAAGCTTTAGATGTCAAAACATTTTAATTGAAAACGCAATGGTGCCGTTCCAAATGATGGCACTGCAATTCACCACGTGTTACCGGGCCTTACAACAAGGTGAGTCACCATAATACAAAATTGATTATGGGCCCTCAGGGTAGAAGTTAATGAGACATGCATTTTGGAGCAGGGGTATAAGTCCCAACCCCCCACCACGTGGCCATGCGACCTGAAGAAATTGTTTGGCTATAGGTTGGATCTTACGGGATAGTTCATCTGCTAGCTCCTAAATAGCTTGTGAAGTGCTCTAACAGCACCTCCCTGCCACAGTTCAAGGCTCTCTTCCTGCCCAGCTTGGAGTTTTTGGTGTATCTGCTCAAAATCGCTAGAACTCAAACCGCTAGAAGAGGTAGGACGGACGCAAGGTCCTCTCACCAATACAGAATACAGTTATGTGGTTTAAAGTGTAACTATGAACAAAAAAAAAAACAAAAAAAAAAAAGGGGGCTTATGATGCAGTCTGTCACTAGAATTGACAGCAGTTAATTCTGTATCCCCATGAAACAGTTTTATTGTGTGTTAATCCTGCTAGTTTCCACTTCCTGGAATAGAGTGACAATACTGCTTGTTCCGCACTAAAATTGCACAGCAGCAATGTCACACCACCTTTTGTAAGAAGAAAAAATTAAGTTCCAGCAACAAACTGCCCAGCAAAAGTAGAGAATTACTGGGGTTGGAACAAACCATTTTGACACTGCTGGGGGTGCTTACAACAGTCAGCTTTTAATTCATGTGGCTTACCACATGAATAAAAGCTGACTGTTGTAAGCACCCCCAGCAGTGTCAAAATGGTTTGTTCCAACCCCAGTAATTTTCTACTTTTGCTGGGCAGTTTAGCTTGTTACAGGATGTGGAAAATAACAGACAGGTAGTAAAAAATTATTCAATTAGCAATGTAATGTAATTTTTTATTTTGCCTATAGTTACACTTTAACCCTCTTCCATCAGTCCCCAAGATATGCAGGAAATGGTTAGGTAGTTTGACTCTCTAGCTAGATTATATATATTTTAATTTTGCTCTTGGGTGGCCTGCCCCTCTACAGAGCAAGGGAACAAAGGCTGCCGTTTACAGGAGGCAAAAAGCATAGGTGGCAATTGTAAATTTTCTTTTCCAACTTTCTAGCTACAGTGTCTAAACCCAATGCCGATTATTGCCGTTGCTAAAAGGGTGAGGTCTGGTGACTGTTCAAAGGTCATGCACGCTCATGCAAAAAAAGAAAAGAAAAATGTATCACAGGGATCTGGAATACTCAGACGTTGTCTGGTTACATTTTCTGTAAAGCTGCCTGTTGGCCGGGCCTCAAAGTACGCACCTGGCTAGTACTGAACTGCATGACCTAAACCAGGGAAATTTCCAGCCACATTCTATCAAAATGTAACCTATAGTGGAGGAGTACAGAGGTTGCCATTTCTCCAAGAAATACTAGTTCCTTGGTTGTCATGCTGATCCAATGGCTTTAGTACTTGCCAAGTCACTTGGAACAAGCATGGCAATTGGGAGCTGACTTCACTCTAGCTCAGGGTAGTAGTAAAGCCAGGCAGTTAGCAATTTCAGGAGTGGGTCAGCAAGAACAATCCCCGTATTAGGTTTGCTTGAATCTGAGCGCCAACCAAAAAGACGTCAGTGGCAAGATAAGATTTCAGGCCGTCATAATCACACACACACCGTCATCATGACGTCTACTAAACTAATCAAATGAAGTTGAGGAATCCCATGGTGTCTAAGTGGCCATGCCAACTGAAATAGCATGAACCCTACAGAACAAAAATGATTAATAATAGCCGTCACAATGCCTCACCCATGTATAAATATTATAATTTAGGAAGAAGGCATCTCTCAACAACCAAATCAGATTCTCCCGTACTGCAAGAGAGAATTCTGATTGGCAACCATGAGCAGACACCAGGAAGAAGAAAACCATGGAGGACACACCATGCCAATTTATGAAGACTAGACCAAGAGTGAAGCGGTTGGCTATGGCAACCAGATTAAATCCTTCACCCTCCAGGAAAATAAAAGAATAAGGATTCTGATTGGTGGCTTCAGGCAACAGCTCCCCTCTGGCACGTCTTCCTTCCTCCAGTTTTTCCATAGCCACCCCCATACAGCTCTTCCCTTAGATACCCTCAAAACACAAGTGCGCACATATAAGACCACTGGAAGAAGTCAACAACTCAATGCCAAAATACAAAGGAATTTATGCATAGTGCTCAGGTACACGATGCAGGAATTAAATCACTCAGTACAGAAAAATATATCAACGTGATTGGCATTTGAAATGTGATCAGATAACCTACACCCCTTTATAAAGCTATTCATTGGCTCTAAACACAAAAAAACTGTAAACCTGTCTCTACAGCAAACCAGTAGAGGAGGAAGGCTGGGCTGAGGAGAGGGTTAATGTCAAGCTGAAATAATCATCAGCTTTCCTTTCACATGTGATGTGAATTAAACCGCCCCTGAAAACCGCCTGAAGGGCTTAGAACAGCTCAATTTCGCAGCCTTCAGTTTTAATCCGTCAGTTAGCGTTATGATCGGTCCTGACCTCGTCATCCCCGTGCAGGTGGTTGGAGAGCTCCTGCAGCACGGCCGCCTTGCCGATCTGATCGTTCCGTCTCCTCTCCATGATCAGGTCCTCCAGGCTCTGAAACTCCAGCGTGTGGCATTTCTTTTCCGAGAGCTGGATTTTCAGCCTGTAGGGCTGCTTGCCTATCCTGATCTCCCCGCCAATCTTAAACTCCCTCTTGCCGTAGCAGCACCAGGCGGCAAAGCACTCAGAGTTCCTCCAGCTGAGCTCCTGGTCTTTGGTCCCTACTTGCTCCATGGCGTTCTGGACCACCATCTCCGGGCTGAGGGGTTTGAATTTGTACTGGCCGTTCACTATCCTGCCCCTCCTGCCCTGGCTGGCCTCAGTCATGAAGCTGTTGGTGATCTCCAGCCTGAATAAGTGCACCACCTGAAAGTCCCCCACGTACACTGCCCAGTGGGGGTACTGGTTCTTTGTGACAAACTCCACCAGGTCACCGGGCTTGCATTTGTTCAGAAGGTTCTCCGGGGAATAGGTGGTCAGCTGCTCCTCGGAGCCGAAGCCCTTCTCGTAGATGCACTCATCCCTGTAGTAGACCGAGCACTCCACCTCGTTGCAGTGGTCGTACTGCAGATCCTCCTGTAGGGTTCCCTGCTTGTCAGGAACCTGCACCGGGTCCTCCAGGTCGTCGTCATCAGCCGAGAAGATGTAGGAGACCCCTATCCTGGGTCCGTCGTCCTTGTCCACCCCCGTGGGGTCCACGGTGGGCACTTCTTTATAACTTAGGTGGGTCAGTTTCTCTACGTGGTTTCCCATCTCCCTGCAAAACAACAAGCACCCATCAGTACAGCCTCTTCCACCTGTTGCAGCAGCAGCTAACCAGTCCTGTGCGGCAAGGTGCTGTGAAACCTGAGCTTGCATGAAGAAAGCATACACCCCAGGGGACAGAGGACGGGCTGCTTTCGGGTTTTTTTTCGAGCGCAGCTGCGAGTGCATTAACCCTGCGCGCGCCCGATCATTTCCACCGACGGTCCAAAAATAAACAAAAATGTAAAAAAATTGCAGCACATAAGGGGGTACGTTAACCTTAACCCACGCTGTAGATCAAACACACTCTATATATGGAATAACTGACTACTAATTTTGTAAACTGTAGCAATTCCAGCAGCTAAACATTTTACACAATGACTTGTTTTATAAATATATATTTATCTGCAATGCATATGCAGGATGTTAACAAAGGCAACATTTAAAAGGAGCCCCCAAAGGAAATAATAAGCTACCAATTCAGGTTTGGCATGCGACAAGGGTCAGCCAGACACGATCCCTAGGGCATGGGTCATCAAAGACTTTTAGGGGTAATGATTGACCCTGGTGAGCTAATATCCCCAGAGGGATCCTTGTATTGAATAGAGGGGACAGGTAGATGCGGTGGTTGCAAGTTCAGCAGCTCAGCGTCCAGGCAATCGCAGGTGAAATAAGAACTTACCAAGGCACCAGCTGGTCGTCTCCGTCTGGCCGGGCTCTGTGCAGGCTCTAGCTGAGCTCCGCTCCGGGGAGGCACCATGGACCCGGCATTGTCGGATGGCTCCGGGAGCCCGCGAACACACACAGAGCAGCAGATCCGGCTCCGCTCGCTGTATGCACAGCGCACCTTATTGTCGGAGGCACGCTTCTCTACAGCAGAGCGATCCCCCTCCCACCCCGGGCAGCTGAGCCCAGAGGAGTGACAGCTTAACCCTGTGCGAGCCTGCCCACAGGCACAGCTCAGCCCCTGTGCCAGGATCAGTGCCAGCAAGGGGGGCAAGGTGGTTCCTTGAAGTGAGCCTGCAGCAGCATTTTTTTTATTTACAGCACCCTTTAAAAGTATGCAAAATCTTGAGACACCCCACTTTAAAATGCATACAAATGTAAATGTAAAAAACTGATCTGTGGTCCCATCACAATCCATATCGGACCCTTATCCCAGATAGGGGTCCTGTATGGATTTTAAAGGGGGACCCCATGCAAAAAATAAGAGATTTCCTCCCTTTAAAGTGACACTAAGAAAGTAAAACTTAAAAATGCATTCAAGTACCTTAATTAATAGCAAACATGTATTCTGATGGGAAGGGGAACTCTGATGTAAAACGAGGGGGATCCAATGTAAAGGACGGCTCCTAATATGAGTTGGTGTGAAAAAGGGGGGCTCCTGACGTGATAGGTGATATTCTAATGTGAGAGGGGAAGGGGGAAGCTGAAGTGAAGGGGGAAGCTGATTTAAAGGGACACTAAACTCAGGAATTAAGCCTTAACTATTATTATTACCATCACTTGGCTGTAGATCCTCAAATCCTCTCTGAATTGGTGCTGACACTGTCCTTCCTTCTGGAGGGTGGCTACTTTTGTTCTCCATGGTCCCTGTGTGTGTTGTAAAGTAGTCACCACTCCAAGCTCACTCCTGTGATGAACTGCAATCTCAATACAAATGTTTAACCCTTTCGCTACCAAGGCATTTTGTTGTGTTTTTTTTTTTTTTTTGCACACGTCATAATCCACATTTGGATTTGGCTTGAAAATTACTTCAAACCCCCAGACATTATATATTTTCTGAAACACAAGACCCTGTAGAGTAAAATGGCGGCAGTTGCAAATTTGTATGTTGCATGATATTAGTGCAACTCTTTTTCAAACTCAAAAGTTTAGTGAGAAATGCACTTAAGTTAATTTTAGTGCCCTGAAACACAATATAATACCCATTATTTTTCTAAAATATAAAAGATGAGGTCATGTCGAGTAAATAGATACCCAACATGCTCAGGTTAAAAATTGTGTGCTTCTGTGAAACGTCCACAAAATTCAGTACCCCAAAAAGTCCATAGACGACGCTTTAAAAGCCACCACAGGTCATCAGTTTAGAGATATGTAAATATTGGCCCTAGAATTATTGCTCTCATTTTAGCTTGTGCGGCGATACCCATGTGTAGCGCGATTGTCATTTTCGTAGGTAGGCACACCCAACACGTGTTTACGTGAATGCACACGTGCTCGCAGGGGACTTTAATTTTTTTCTCATTATTTTTATATTTATTTTATATTATTTTTTAAACTTTTTTTTTTTACTTTACTTTAAATGCTATCACATAGGGTGCTTACAATTCCCTATGTAATAGCATATAAGCAGTGACAGGTCCTCTTTAAGGTGACACTAGGGGTCCCAAAGACCCCTAGTATCACCTTTCCACTCTAAATAAGCTATTGAAGTACAGATCGCACGTAAATAGCGTATTGCTCGGCTGCTGAAGCCGAGCAATGACAGCTATGGGACCAGAAGTGATGCAATCCTCGTCGCTCTCGCTCCCATAGAGCATGGAGAAGATTGGGGAACGCAGGTTCACTGCTCTCCTCCCCAGCTTCTCGCCGACACCCGACATGCTGGTCCCGGGCCAGCAGGAGGGGCAGCAGAGCACGGGAAACAAGATGGAAGTGTTGGATGGGGGGCGGGCACTTTTCTGGCCCGTGGAAGCGATCCGGTGGCAGCTGAGGTACCAGAATCGCTTCTATTGTAATCCTTACATCGGTGGCAGCAAAAGGGTTAAACTAAATGTGAGGTTGTAGTCCATCATGGCAGCGAGTTTGGAGTGGTGGTTACTTTACAACACGCACAGGGACCACAGACAACAACAGTACCCCCTCTCCAGAAGGAAGGACAGTGTCAGCACCAAATTCAGAGATGATTTGAGGATCTACAGCCGAGTGATACACAAATAAGATACATTTTTGTTAATAGTTAAGGTTCATGTTAAGGTTTAACGCCTTAGTGTCACTTTAAATCAGAAGCCCCTTTACTTCAAACCCCCCCTCCCCTTCTCTTTACAACAGAATCCCATCCCGAGTCCCCCCTCTCACATTAGGAGCCGTCCTTTACATGGGGGCACCTCCTTTTACGACACAGTTTCACCTTGCCTGCCTGCACCATGAGAAGGCATGACACTGTGCAAAAATGTCAAGGCACTCCTGAGGAAGGCAGAAGGCACCCTGGTTGGGAAAGGTTGGTCTGGAGAGAAACATAGGGGCTGCCATGGCTGATCTCTCTTCTGATAAGTGCATGGCTGTTATGCTCATCCTCCGCGTTCAGTACTTATTGAGCTACTGACTCAAAACAAGGATGCAGGGCAGAAAAAAAGAAGCTCCTTATCTGCATTCTGGGTTAGTGCCTCCAAGTACTGAAGCCAAGCAGTTAGCATTTTCAAAACAATTTAATGGATCACTTACTGTACTGCGGGGAAAAAAGGGTTGCGTTCAATATTTTTTTCCATGTTCAGGTGCGTTGGCATTCATTTCAGTGGGCTGCCTTAAGAAAACGCTTGTTAATGACCTAACGCTTGTTTTGGCTTATTCAAGCGTGCGTGCACACCCTGGCAGAGACCCGGTCCTAGTAGGGACAGGTGCTGGGTGTTATTGCGTGTAGCAGCCTGTACCTCCCTATGGGAGCACGCAGCTGCACATGGTTACACACAGGCCCGAACCGGCACGTCTGTGTAGGTCTAGGCGCTCGCACTTGGATGA